GCCTCGACTCGGCCTAATCGACACAACACATTTGCCTCGACCGACCCCCCTTTCAATCAACATAGCACATAACCTTGTCTGGTTGCCCTGACTCAGTCAACCGATCACTTAGGTCTGACCGGGTGCCCTGGCTAGTTAACCTATCACTTTTGTCCGACTGACCATCCCAGTTTGGTTGATTGATCAATTGCATGATGTGTGCTTCATATATGTGTCATTTTTGTTTGTATGATGTTTCATATAATTTTTATCACATGTTTATGTTGCATTTTGAGTATTCATTCCTGCACTCACTCCACTTATATTATTCTCTCACGTGAGAATCATCTCATCTTGGGTCGCTATCTCCACGGCACGCCCACCTTTATGGGTCTCTGCCTCCACAATACACCCTTTTCTTCGGGTTGTTGCCTCCACGACACGCTCACCTTTCCAATTTATTGCCTCCACGACACGCCCACCCTTCCGGGTCACTGCCTCCGCACTGCACTCATCATTTGGGCCACCATCTCCACAACACGCTCACCCTTTTGGGTCACTACCTCCACAATATATTGTTCTTTGGGTTGCTGCCTTCATGGCACGTCACTCTTCAATGTCACAGTCTCTATTACACACCCACTCTTGTGGGACACTGCCCCAACAACATGCTCACATTTCGGGTCACTGCATCAATGACATACTCATTCCTAGAGTTGCTAGATTGCTGCCTCCACGACACTCTCATTCTTTCGAGTCACTGTCTCCATAACATACCTATTCATTTGGGTCGTTGTTTTAACGACGCACCACCCATTTAGGTTATTGCCTCCACGACACACCTAATCTTTGAGTCCTGGCTTCACGACACGCGTACCATCTTGGGTCCCTACCACCACGTCATACTCATTCCTTGGGTTGCTGCCTCCACGGTACACCCCCTTCAGGTCACTGCCTCCATGATGTACCTATTCTTTTAGGTCAATGCCTTCATGACACGCCCACTCTTTTGGGTCACTGCATCCATATATCTTCCAATAAGAGGTTTCCTCTACGACACATCCACCCTTTCGAGTCACTATCTCCATGACATACACATTCCTCTTTCCGCTGCCTCCAAGACATGCCTACCATTTTGAGTCATTGCCTTAACGACATCCTATACGTTTGGGTCGTTGCCTCTATGACAAGCCCACCCATTCGGATCGTTGCCTCTACAACGCAATTATTATTTGAGCCACTACCTCTACGGTACGCCCACTCTTTCAGGTCACTGCCTCTACTGCATAACCACTCATTGGGTCGCTGCCTCCATGACACGCCCATCTTTCTGGGTCACTGTCTCCACAACGCCCCAATCTATGTGGGCAGCTGTACGACATGCTTGCTTCCAAGTCATCGCCTCCACAACACACTCCACACCAATTCTATCACATGACTGTTTGCATTTGTATATGTATGCATGCATGAATATCAATATAGGCTCAATATGTGATTAACTCTGCGTTGATCACGATGTCTTAACTAGCATTGCTTGTTGAGTTGACCCAGTGAGAAATGTGACTTAAAACAATGAGAATGACACGAGTGTAATTATGCTAAAAATCAAAGGAATCTAACCAGTGTCACCTTGCATGTTACAGAGTTCGCCTATAATGGCCCTTATTTTAAAACTTAAATAACATATATTGTTATTTATTATATATGTCGTTTTATTAAAAGTATGTATGTAGCAAACTAGGTCATATGTATGACCAACTCTTTTCAAAATTCATCCTGCGTGACACCCTTTAGATCCCTTTGATATTTAGGATGGGGCCGGTGTGACGACCACGTTGAAGTCATACGTACCCGAAGAATTACAATGCACTTAGAAGCTGGTCGGTAAACTTCTCATTAAATTGTGTGCTAGGCTAAGATTTATGATGCTAATTAGTTTATTTTTATGCATATGAATATTGTTCTTTGTAGATTTGCTTGTGATAGTCAAGTGTAACTTTTATATTTTTTTGTGTGCTTACATGATTGATATACACGACAATATATTAGAGCATTCTTCAGCAATGAGTCATGTCTATAAATATGGACACACATGTATCATTAAGGGGGAACACGTAATGATTTTTACTAACATTTTACTTGCATTGCCATTTTGCTCCATAGATGAAAAGACACAACTTATTATATGCTGTGTGTTTATTAGGTTTATTGCTAATGTTATTTTCAAGTAGGTCAAGTTTTTATTTTGTCTTTCAAATGTATTTGATAGAGTCCCCAAACTAATTCTGTATCGGAAATAAGGTATGGACACGAGTTTCAAGACGGACGACGTATCGAACCACGTGACGGGGAGCAGGAGCGATAGCTCATGTCCCATACCTTAAGTTTGAATTCAATATTTTTGTATATATCTAAGATCGAGCATGTATATGCGGAGCCCACCACCTTTCTAGTTTTTTTTAGATATGTCACCGACCCAGCTGACCTTGTCATCTTTTATATTTTTCAAAGTGCTATTTCTTTATATTGGGTTTTTGCATACTTATATTGTTTTTTTTATTTCTTTTTGATTTATGTGAAATGTCACAAAATTTACAATTTAGGCTCATTAAGAACCATAAAGTTATAAATTTTCTACATAAAAATCATAATAAAATATTTAAGACTAATTAAAATTTAGGATTAAGAGATTTAATATTTTAAAATTTCTCTTTCAAATTGGACTGCATATCATGGATATCACCCAAGCCATTATGATAGAGCCCCCGTAATATCTAAGTATCACTCTAGATAACTACATTATTTGCACGTCCCAATGAGAAGCCCCCGTGTTTCTCTAACCCAATTGACCCAACATGGATTTATACTTAGGTGGTCGTCTAGTGCACTTATGTTCTTAAGAGACTCTTCATCCTAGACGGGGTGTAAGTTATTTTGTTGTAAGTGTTTTCAACTTTGTTATTGAACATCCATTTTTTTTCCAACGACATCCTCACCCCTTCAGTATGTATAAGTCCAACCACTTGAAACTCCACCATACATTCATATGATAAAGTTTCTTTCATTTGACCTTAGAGCCACCAAGGTCCATGCAGATGATGTAATTCACATATTGTTGATCGGGGATCTCTAGAAATGTTGGGTTAACTACCTTCACCACCATGCAGACTTAGGGTCATAGTAGCTTGGGATGGTGGGTTCGTGCTACCTTGACCCAACTACCTCTATCTTTTAGGGCCCCTTTTGCCTTCGTTAGTATCATCTCGATGACCTGATTGCCGATGAGCCACCCCCCCCCCCCCCTGATACAACGATTTGTCCTCTACCCATGTGACCTGGATGTGCTTTGACGCAAAAAAATTCCCCATCTAGACGGTTTGGTTATTATTTATTTTGAAGTGTGAACGAATCTGTTAAATTCTTATGATTTTGGTAAGAGATGAAACAAAACATTCGAGAGGGATATGATAAACATTTACAAGTTTTATGTATTGATTTTATAAATTAGTTTATTAACAGTGTAATTAATTTAATTTCAACAATTTTATTGAATTAACTCGAGTAGTTTTAATCTATTAAACAACAAAAAAAAAGTATGATAGAGAGGTTAAATTGTTAGGGAAATATCATGAAGTTAATGATTGAACTAATTCATAAGTATCTTCTAAGCAAATGTGAGTAGTTAGATTATTTTATGCATTAAATTAATGTTGTTTTAAATGAATATTTGCTTTATTAAATATTTTCAAATAACTATTTTATTCATGTCTTCTATTTTTATATTCTAAAATGTCATCGCAAATGGAAAATAATGAACATATGAAGTTGTATTTTAAATGATTTTAAATTATATGAAATGAAATGTAAATGATTAAGTTACATAGAATTACCTCATAATGATACTGACAAATGATATAATGCACCAACACACGTTAAAGAAAATTGTAAAGGTTTACATTAGAGTACAATTTGAGGTTACATTTGGGTACAATTTTGAGGGCGTATTTAGACACATTTTTAAAGATATCTTTGGGTATAGTGGTAAATAGTAAACACTTAAAAGTGAAAGGGAAGTAATAACTTTAAAATGAAAATTTAGGTTTTATAAATAAATGAACTGCATTCTCTTTTGATCATCAATACATATCATGTCATAAAAGTTTAATGAATGTTAGATCATAGTTACTCACAAAGTCATACTTACAGTTGCAATTAATGTTTTCTTTTAGGACAAGAAAATTTTTTGATTCATGCCTCGTAAAAGAGATTTGATTTACAGATAGAGTACTGCAGCTGATAGACACTAATTTGTATTGTAATTTTTTTTTTATTTTGTTATATATATATGTTAATTTAAGACTGTTCTCTAAAAATGATGTTGTTGTTTATAGATATTTAATTTTTATTACACTCCGTGGATTATTTACACTTTTTTATATATTAGATTTTTAGAAAATTTTTTGAAAAGTAAAATGAAACATTAATACCATCCGACCACAGTTCCCGCCTTAGTGAATTATAAGCCGGGGCGGGTCGTGACATGTTATATATCCTTATGATGGGTGTTATGATTCTTATTAAAGAATTAATTATCACGAGATCATCATGCATATTTAACAAGTCTATAACGCACTTGTTTACAATTTTTTCTTGGACATGCCTTACAATCAGTCCCGTAATTTTATTTTATCTTTGACGTGATTATTCATACTTTTGTCAACTTTATAATCTTTTTCATTAATTTTTTTTTTAAATCAAATGATTATTAGAGACTCCCATCATTTTAAATAATTGTTAAAATGAAGGGAGGATCCTTAAAAAACACTCCCAAATATTTTCTTTGGGGGATTTTCAACATTTAAAAACAATTGCCAAGCTATTATGTGGTATTTATTTAGAGATTTTCATCTTGAATCTTAAGCATGTGAGGTTTAGAAGTATTTTTAAAACACAGTAATAAAATAATTTTCTGATAAAACTGAGCTGATTATGAGAAACAAACCCAGCGGCCCCATAAAAACGTAACCGGGATCTTGGTAGCCGGTGTTTCCACATTTCTTCACTCGCTCGTTCTAGGGTTTAACACTCCGTCTCTCCGCTCGGGCCATCTTCTTCTAACCGGAGAACCTTGCGAATTGCATCGCGCATCTCCTACGGGCAGAGCCTTCGAAAATGGTGTTCCAAATGCAGCCCTACGGCATCCAAGGGTTGCTCAAAGAAGGGCACAAGCATCTTTCTGGGCTGGATGAGGCCGTGCTCAAGAATATCGATGCCTGCAAGCAGCTATCTTTTATCACTCGCACTTCCCTTGGTCCCAACGGTACTGAAATTGCCCATCCCCTCCCTTTCTTTCTCCGTCGTCTTGGATTTTAAGCAGCCATCTTTTCAAGTTGATGTTAGAGAGTGGTTTTGTTGATGGTGGATTAGTGAAATGAATGGAAGGAATCTGGCACGTTTTGTTATTGTGTAATTTTGGTTTTGAAGGGGGTAGTGGGATGTGGAGCTTGGAGAACTTCCAGCATGTTTGCCTCCTAATCATCAATCCATGACCCTCTTTTTTTTTTTGTAAAAGGCAAATTCAGGAGGAGTTTTGAGCCTTCTCGCTTGATAGTACTTGTTTATGGACGCATTGAAAGTACAGGAACTGAATTGTTTGATAAGCGGTGAACTTATCTGGTTTGGCAGCTTTGAGAGTTGGAAGGAGTTTTTACTGTTTTTTGTTCATGCTTGAAAAAATAATTGGTACTTATTTTCATTTTTGCCCTGAGCTGTACGCAAAAGTTGGCATGCTGGCATGCTGGCATGCTTTTTCTTATCAGTTTCATGGTTTTGTTTATTTTTTTCAGTTTGGAAATTGTGAGCTTTTTTTCAAGGCTTATTCCATGCAATATGTTTGAAAAGCTTGAGCTTTTTTCAAGGCTTATTTTATGCAATTTATTTATTTATTTAATAGTTGGAAATTGTGGGCGTTTTGCAAGGCTATTCTTCATGTGAATTTAATCAATTTGTTTTGCATTGAAGAAACTAGCCAAGTTTGAAACTGTTTGAGATGCTGGGCTAGGTCACTTTTTGATTTTGCTCATTTACAACCATTTTTGGCCTTGGTTTTATCAGTTAAACAGTCCATGTGATTTGTGTGTTATCTTTTTTAATGAATTTCCAAATGCTTTTATAGTTTTTAATGTTATTGATGGAATTGCCTTACACTTTATAAAATTTATTATAATTTTCCACAATGTTTTGTGGTTTTCATATTTTCATTTTCTTTCCAGGCATGAACAAGATGGTGATCAACCATCTTGACAAGCTCTTCGTTACAAATGATGCTGCCACTATTGTAAATGAGCTTGAAGTACAGCATCCTGCTGCTAAGATATTGGTGTTGGCAGGCAAAGCTCAACAAGAGGAGATTGGAGATGGGGCTAATCTCACAATATCCTTTGCCGGGGAAATCCTCCAAAATGCAGAAGAGCTCATCAGGATGGGGCTCCATCCTAGTGAAATTATAAGCGGATATACAAAAGCCATCAACAAGGTTCTATGTTATTTCTAAGAAACTAATCATTTTTTATGGGGGTTTTACTTGCATACCACTCAGATCTTATATCTTCACATATTTAACACCTAAACTCTACCTTTTACATTTATTCCATCCAGATATTCATATCACATAAAAAATACTGCTTTTTTAACTTCTAAAATGTTTAGGTGTTAGATATGTAAATACATAGGAATTGAGTGGTATGTAATTCTTCCATTTTTGATATATTTCAACCTCATTTATACTCAATTTGTTTTTTTCTTAGACGCTAGAGATTCTCGATGAATTGGTGGAGAAAGGATCGGAAACTATGGATGTTAGGAATAAGGATGAAGTTATTTATAGGATGAAAGCTGCAGTTGCCAGCAAACAATTTGGGCAAGAGGATATTTTATCCTCTCTAATTGCGGACGTGAGTATCTTTGTACCCCGCCACTGTCCCATTTATTTTGGCTGTTGCTCAAGAATAATATCATAGGCAATGCTATTTTAATGTTAGGCTTGTATTCAAGTTTGTCCAAAGAATCCTGCAAATTTCAATGTGGATAATGTGAGAGTTGCAAAACTTGTTGGCGGTGGTTTACAAAATTGCTCAGTTGTACGTGGAATGGTCTTGAAAAATGATGCCATTGGCAGCATAAAAAAAATAGAAAAGGCCAAGGTGATTCCTTCTTACCAGTTATTTGTTTATTGAATGAGTTGTATTAAATTTTCTTTCTACCCCATATTTTCTCATTTGATGCCTCTGTCCTCTTGTGAGATCAGAATTATATTTTTATTTTTTCTTTGTGGATAACATTATGGAAGGGTGTAGCTACCTAACCAGTGCATAAAGCTCCACTAAGTTTATTACTTCAACAACTTATAATCAAACTAAGGATTTTTATACAATGATTAGCTTTGAATCTTGGTTTTAAAAAGACAATCAGATCCGAGATCTACTTGAGCAAGCAACTTGTAAGGTGAAAAATGGTTCATATTTACTTTCTAGAAGTGCTTATAATAACTATATGATTCATGTTTCTTGAATTTATATTATTTCTGAATATCTTGGGTTATAATTCTCTTAGGTAATCCATGTTTTGGCCATCACTTGCATCCCAGAACATATTAGATGGCTTTGAAGATGCATAATTCATTGCCTTTCAGATTGTGATTGTACTATTATGTGATGAAAGCTTATCTCAAGACCTACCACTAATCCTTACATCAAGTCTCTATACCTTTCACTCTATTTTTTGTTTACGTGGGTTACATGTAACTATGCATTTTTCAGTGTCTGTTATGTTTGTGATTTATAATACAACATAATGTTGTCTCTTTTGTTGTTGTTAATGCTCTTTACTAACGTGAGTGGTATTTTTGATATTTATAGTGCAGCTTTTAGTACTGTCTCTTTTGAGTAAAACTTTGATACAATTTTTTGTTTGTTTAGATTGCTGTATTTGTGGGAGGTGTTGATACATCTGCAACGGAAACAAAGGGAACTGTTCTCATTCAAAGTGCTGAGCAGGTGTTTTTATTTCTACACTATTGCTTTACAGGTTATCTATCTGTTTGAAGAAATTAGTCCTACACACATTTTTATGCTTGCAAACTTTGTCACTCTTCTAGCTTTTCAATTTTTTTGCCATTCTTTGTAATGTGAATGATAGTTGACTTGACTCAAATAGGCGATGCATTTCTTTGTTTACATATTTTAATCTACTGAATTTCAGTTTTAGGAACTGTGCATGACTTATTTGATGCTTTAAAGAACAATAAGTTATTGAAGGTAATTTTAAAATTCTATGTGCGAAATGAGTATAAACTTAAGTTTTCAATTTGTTTAAATTATAAATGCTCATTTGGAGCCATATTATAAAGATGTCCCAAAAGGTATTGGAGCAAAGGTCGAGCACAATATGCTTTTTGCGAGCAAGTTCTGCTGTATTGGTCATTCACATCAAAAGTATTTGCTAATCATTATTTAGTGGGCATGTAAATTCGAGTAGAAAAAGAAAGAACTGGCCTGAATTAGGAACATACGTCACAATGTATTCAGAAAAATTGGACGAATTTTCCCCACGATTCTATGTGAGCAGTAAATTTATCAGTTTAATTTGTTTTAGATTATTTTACTGTTATTAAAGTTTGAGAAGAAATATTTTTTACACGTTTTATGGTAAGTGAGATTGTATTATGTTCTAATATGTTTGACTTTTTTTATTACAATGAAGTCTCACATTATAGGCTTGGTCTATATTTCCTCAATTTTGTTTCTAGCTGAGTTATTGTCTCATAGTTTACTATTTTCAGCTAGAAAACTATTCAAAAACTGAAGAAGCAAAAGTTGAGGAGCTCATTAAAGCTGTTGCAGACTCTGGTGCCAAGGTGGTTGTTAGTGGGGCTGCTGTAGGAGAGATGGCCTTGCATTTCTGTGAACGTTACAAGTAAGTTAAATTTTTCCAGTTACCATTCACATTGCAGTTACATTGAGCTAAAATCTTAAAGAACTCTTCAATCATCCAACACGATTCACGCTGGAATTTGCTATATTTTACTTTTGTGTATAGGAATATCCAATCAGATTTGGTGTATTAGGATAACTATACTTGAATTTTTAAATGGTCCAATTCATTGCATTATCTGTGTTTGGATTGACTGCTTGATTGTTTGACAATGATAAATTAATCTGGTTGAGGCACTGATTAACATCCTTTCAAATGTTTCTTTATTTTTGTGGAACGTATACACAATATTTGTGATTTTTTGTTGTTTGAATTTATTATAGGAGTTTGTCTGCAATGCAAAAATTTTTTATTTTTGCAATGCATTAACTTTGTTATATGATAAGAATTATTTGTTGAGCATAGTTTAGTTCGATTTATATTAACTTGGCATATTGTTTACATGTGCTTGCACAAATACATATAAGAAGCACGTCCTTGTGTATTTTACATGCTTTTTTTTAACAATTTCAAATCAATTCAAATTTGAGAAGTCTTCCACAATGTTTTGATTAATGTTGCTATCCTTATTACCCATCTTTCAGACTCATGGTTCTAAAAATCAGTTCAAAATTTGAGTTGAGGAGGTTTTGTCGCACAACTGGTGCTATAGCTATTGTACGTTATCACTCCTATTTCTTTCCGCTACTCGGGTTATTGTTTCTGCATGTAGCACTAATTTCTCTGATGATAAACACAGCTAAAACTTAGCCAACCAAATCCTGATGACCTGGGCTATGCTGACTCCATCTCAGTTGAAGAAATCGGTGGTGTTCGGGTACATTTTATCATTTAAAAGAGAACCCTTTTTATGATGATATCTTGTCTTACCTGCCGTCTATCCGCCATTATATGTTAAATCTTAACTTTATGATTGTGCGACAGGTGACCATTGTGAAGAATGAAGAAGGTGGAAACTCAGTAGCTACCGTTGTTTTACGTGGAAGCACAGACAGTATTCTCGATGACCTTGAAAGGGCTGTTGATGATGGTGTTAATACATATAAGGTATATTTGTCATTTTACATATTGTTTCATGGTGAGATAGAAGCTCTATTCAGGACCATCACCATGTTAATTGTTTAATGTGCTCTTTTGCGCACTTTACAGGCTATGTGTAGGGATAGTCGTATCCTTCCCGGGGCTGCAGCAACTGAAATAGAATTAGCAAGAAAGTTGAAGGAGTTCTCCTTTAAGGAAACTGGGTATTTCTTTCTTCCTCAATAGGCATTTAAAAAAAGGGGCATTTACATATATAGCACCCAATTCTTATGTATTTACATATCTAAAGCTCAAACTTTACTTTTTTACATTTATGTCACCCAAATCTTTCATATCACAAAAACAAAATATCACCATTTTAACTTTTCAAAAGTGAAATATACCTTTTCATGCATGGTTGAAGTGTCATATTTGTAAAAATTGAAGTGTAGGTGTTAGATATGTAAATGTATAAGAATTGAGTGGTATGTAAGTCTTCTTTAAAGAATGACATCATACCTGATCTTTTGGTTCTTGCTCCCATCATCATTATTAGTAGTTTTATCTGAACTAATGGGCTTGGTTTCATGGATATTGCTTCTCTATACATTTCTGGTTTGTGTTGGACAAAATCTTTACTATAATTTACTTATATTCTATGGGAGCATTTACATGCATACCAACTAATTCCTATGTATTTACATTTCTGACGCCTAACTATTAATTTTTTACTTCTATACCACCCAAATCTTTTATATCACATAAAAAATACCAATATGTTAACTTTAAGAAAATAAAAGTTTGTGTTAGATATATAAATAAATAAGAAATGAGCGGCGTGCATGTAAATCTTCCTATTTTATTAACTTCTGTAAAGTTTACCTATAATATTATCTTCCCAATTCTTCCCAGTAATTCTATCTACCTCTCATGCACCACCTGATTTTTTTTCTCGTTAATATTTAGTAGGTTTTCTAATTTTTTTATAATTCATTATTACACTGTTCTTTATGTGCATTTTGTCTGCATTGTATTCTTAGTTTTTGTCTTTTTCTAAGTATTTTATTATTTTATGGTAATATTCAAAGTCCGTGCGTTGGTGTCCTTTATAATTATCAATTTGTGGTTATTTGTATATGTCATGACGATTGGTATCAAAGCATGTTGCATTTTAACCAACATTTATGCATAGTGTGATCACAGTTTCTTTCAATACTTTTTTGTCCCATCACAATCCTAAATTATTAAGAATCTTCGGATAAAAATTTCAGAAGAGCCGACCGGTCTCTGATCATTGCCAGCAAGAGATCCGCTTCCCAACTTCTGTAGTCTGTTTTATTTTTTATATTTCTGGTCTGTAAACTTCTTAAAGTTGACAGTAAACGTATTTTTTCTTCACTGTCATTTTCCCCTTAAAATTATTTATTGAACATTGCAAGTATATCTGAATTCTTTCTTAAAACAAATAAAGTTCATATATATATATATTTTTTTCTTTATGAACATATAATTTTTCAATTCAAGGTCATGTAAATTATGATTTTACATCAACCATTTATGTGTCTCGTTAGTTGTTGCAGTTATCATTATAGATTAAAATTTCAACTTCTTTTTTTCATATAAAAATTCTAGAGTAGGCTTACTTGCAATGTTCAATAAATAAGATTACAGAGATTAGAGACAGTCGTCTTAGATGGTTTGGTCGCATTAAATGTTGATCATCCGATAATCTAGTTAGGCGAGTAGATATTTTAGAGTCTCGGCTTATGTTAAGTAAGGTAGAGGTAACTTAAAAAGACCTGAGCTTGTTGTATAAAAAATGATCTTAATTTATTAGAATTAAATGAAAACATGACACTCAATAAGACACTATGGAGAAGAAGGATTCATGGAGCCGACCCCACTTAGTGGGATAAAGACTTGTTGCTGGTGTTGTTGCTGTTGTTGTAGGTTTGCTTGTCATTTGTTTCTAAAACTAAAATTGCTATTTTTCTTCTTTTTAAGTAATCCATGTCCTATTATTATTGTTAAGATGGATTTTGGGTCAATTAGGATGAATGTGTGAAATAAGTGTTTTAAGAAAACTCAAAAGTTTGGAGGGATTTAATCCATTTAGGATGAGTACAAAACAGGTTACTTTAGTTTGGATATGTGCAACAAAGAAGAAAGAGGAAGAGAAACTATAAATGAGGAGCAGAGTTCTGCAATTTGTAGGGCTTAAGAAGGAAAAATTGCAAATTGCAGGAAAAAGTAAAACGCTGTTTGAATATTCAAAGAGAACCAATATAATTACTTGAACACTAAATACTGTTCTAAAGAAGCATAAATGGCCATGAAAGAATGGCTAAACTGAGTATGTGATGTGGCTGCTGCTTTTTAGTTTATGCATTGAGATGCAAATTACAATTTAAAAGTTTCGAATTATAGTGCTTTTTAGCACCTTAAAAAGTTTACCTTTTTTTTTGTGTCATTTGCAAAACAAAATTATTTCTGTGTAATGTGCTTTTACATGAATGATTTTCAAAGAGTTCCCAACAGGTTTAGCTCTGTTTGTTTTTACATTTGTTTTTTTTTTCAAATTTTGCTTTGCCGCATAAAGCTTCATCATGAAATTTTAAATCTTTTTAATTATTGAATAGTTAATCAACAGATTCAAGTTTAAAATTTTCTGCTGCTCTGTGTGTGCTGAGAGATGACTGAAAGCTTTCCCCTTTCATAACCTTGATTGTTATGATTTTTTATCCATATTTTTATAGGTTGGATCAATATGCTATTGCGAAGTTTGCAGAGAGCTTTGAAATGGTTCCGAGAATCTTGGCTGAAAATGCAGGGCTCAATGCAATGGAAATAATTTCTTTGCTGTATGCTGAACATGCAGCTGGAAACACCAAAGTGGGAATCGACTTGGAGGAAGGTGTTTGTAAGGATGTATCTGCTCTCAAAATTTGGGATCTTTATGTGACAAAGTGAGTATTTTTATAATATTTCAGATGTTCTATTTTTCATTCGAGTTATTTTGATTTTATGCCTATTTTGTGATGGGAAGAAAATCTGACTCTTCTATTAAGGGTCTATTTGGGGCAGCTGTAGCTTCTCAGCTTTTCAACTGCCCCTGCAGCTGCTCTAGGAAGCTGTTGCGGGGAAGTAGCTGCGGGAAAAATAGCTGCCTGTTTGATGCAGCTGTGTGAAAACAACTGTGAGGTAGCTGTTTCTAGAAAAAATGACCATTCCGCTCTTGTTTGATAAAATTGTCTAAAAAGGAACTGTAACAGCCACATTTTTGAAATTTCAGAAGCAGAAATTCATTTCAAAACAGAACAACTTCAGATACACCACTCACTTAACAGTGAGTATCAAAAGTGCAAAGAAAAAAAAAAGAACTAATAAAATTACAAGTAAAATGGTGATTATATTATTTTTTGCATGAGCATACTCAAACAGACAGCAAATACATATGTTTCATACGAGTTAGAATGACAATGGTGACAATGAAGTTCTATTGCCCTCTCATACACAATTTTCTTATTAAATGCCCCGGAGGGGTAGCAATATCTAAGCATAGAGTGGCATTAAACAAATTAATCAAAGGCTATCTAAGCATAGAGTAATAGAACAGGTTTAGATACACAACTCATTTAACAGTGAGTACCAAATGTGCTAAGAATAAGAAAAGAACTAATAAAATTACAAGTAAAATGGTGATTACATTATCTTTCGCATGAGCACGCACAAACAGACAATAAATACAGATGTTTCATATGAGTGAGAATGACAATGATGACAATGAAGTTCTATTTCCCTCTCATACACAATTTTCTTATTAAATGCCCCAGAGGGGTAGCAGTATCTAAGCATAGAGTGGCATTAAACAAATTAATCAAAGGCTATCTGTTTTACTGCCTCTTATATGGGTGTGTGTGCCAGTGAAAAAAACAGAGAAGAAGTACAGATGTTTCATAGCAGTTAAAATAGCAATGGTGGCAATGAAATTCTGTGTCCTTTTCAACAACAAACTTCTTATTATATGCCCCAAAGGGGTATGAGTATCTAAGCATAGAATGACATGAAACAAATTATTCAGAGGCTATCTGTTTTACTGCCTCACATATGGGTGTGTGTTTCACTGAAAAAAATAGAGAAGTACAGATGTTTCATATGAGTGAGAATAACAATGGAGGCAACGAATTTCTGTTGTCCTTTCATACACAATTTTCGTATTATATGCTCCAGAGGGGTGGCAGTATCTAAGCATAGAATGACATTAAACAAATTATTCAGAGGCTATCTGTTTTAGTGCCTCATATATGGGTGTGTGTGAGTGAAAATAATAGAAAAGAAGTACAGATGTTTTATAGCAGTTAGTGTAGCAATTGTGGCAATGAATTTTTGTTTCCCTTTCACACACAAACTTCTTATTATATGCCCTAGAGGAGTATGAATATCCAAGCATAGAGTGGCTTGAAACAAATTATTCAGACGCTATCTGTTATACTGCCACATTTATGGGTGTGTGTGTGAATAAAATAGAGAAGAAGTACTGATGTTTCATAACAGTTAGAATAGCTTTGGTGGCAATGCAGTTTTGTCTGCCTTTCACACATAAACTTCCTATTATATGCCCCAGTGGAGTATGAGTATCTAAGCATACTTTGCCATGAAACAAATTATTCAGAGGCTATCTATTTTACCGCCTTATTAATGGGTGTGCATGAATTGAAACAAAATTAACTTCTCAAAGCATAACTTCTGCCAATTCGATTTGCATGAGCATGGTCGAACATGGCATCAACTGCTGATGTTTCATATCAGTGAGAATAACAATGGTGGCAACCGAGTTCTGTTGCTCTGTCATACACAGTTTTCTTACTATATGCCCCAGAGGGGTATCAGTGTATAAGCGTAGCATGTCATGGAACAAAATTATTCAGAGGCAATGTACTTGACTGCCTCATTTATGGGTATGTGTCTCATTGAAAAGAGGAGATTCTTTAAGCATAACAAGAACAACTGACTTTTCATGGGGGTGTCAATAAGAATGGTGGCAAAGAAGTACTGTTGCCCTATCATAAACAATCTTCGTAGTTTATTTCCCAAAGGGGTATCAATATATAAACATAAAATGACATGGATCAAATTATTCAGAGGCTATCTACTTCACCGCCTCATTTATATGTGTGCGTGTCATTGAAAAAGAAAACTTATCAAAGCATAACATTTTGCAATTCGACTTGCATGAGCATGCTCTAACAGACAAGAACTGCTGATGCTTCATAGAAGTGAGAATCATAATGGTGACAATCAAGTTCTGTTGCCATATCATACATAATTTTCTTACTATATGCCTCACAGGGGTATCAGTATATAAGCGTAGAATGGCTTGGAACAAATTAATCAGAGGCTATCTACTTTACCGCCTCATTTATGGGTCTCTGTATGTTATTGAGGCATATGCTTCATCTGACTTTTTGAAAGAAAAGGTCGTTTGCATCAGCATTCTAAAAAAAACACAATGAGCTCGAGATTTCTTATGGGTTTGAGAATAAAAATGATGGCAATGAAGGTATGTTGCCCCTTCTTACGCTTTTGGCTTACTATATACCCTAACACATGAGTGCTACTCATCACATAGTAAGCTTTCTTAACCAATCAACTTCACTGACACATTTCTGGGGCTAAACATATCATTGGTATTTTGCTTTGTATGAATATTCTCAAACAGAGATAAACGGATAAGAAACAACCATCAAACCGACCAACACAAATCAACCACCAAAATCAAATAAACACAAGAAAAACTTCACCGTGCATATCCACGATAAATCGGAAGTTTCTCAAAAAAAAATATTAGTTGAGAATAGCTATATCGGAAGGAGAAGATCTCTGGAACTACGGTTAGGGCAGCGGAAGGTCACACTCGGCAGGACAGCTAAAGAAGGCGGGATAAATAAAGAAGGGACCAATTAGGGGTACGGGAGTAAAAAAGCGGAGCAGTAACGCGGGCAGCGGGGTCTCACCCGCGGTCTGTGTTTCGCCCGGATTCGCGGCCGCAGCGAGCGAAACGCCATGCCACCCTAAACCCATGCCAAACACTACTTTCCGGTGGCCTCCTGCCGCATCGCACAGGGACAGCCGCGCCAAACGGGCCCTAAGAAGAAATTTTTTTCTCATTTGTAAATGTTTATTTTACATATATATATATATTTATATTTGTTAAATAAAAAAGTCCCAAACAGGTCCTCAGTTTATTAACAAGGGAGCTCGCCTGTGTTGATTTCACAACTACTTTTGTTTTGCAAATATAACCTTCTTTTGATTAATATTCCCTATATTGCCAACAACTCATCTCTTTTACTGATTTTATTTCTTTTTCTTGCTTAAATCTATTGAATTCTCATTATCTATCCTTTTGCTAATATTACTCCCTTTTGAATAGGTTTTTCGCTCTCAAGTATGCTGCTGATGCTGCTTGTACTGTTCTGCGAGTTGATCAGGTTAGCATCTCTTCTTTCCGTCTAGGGGCATTTACAAACATACCACCTGATTCTTGTGTGTATACATATCTAACATCTAAACTTTATTTTTTTACATTTATATCTCCAATTTCTTTCCTATCACATTAAAAAATACTATTATTTTAACTTTTAAAAAGTGAAATACGCCTTTTCATGCAAACGTAACGCGACGGTTTAGGTATTAGATTTGTAAATACTTGAGAATTGAGTGGTTTATGTAAATAAATATTCATACCATCTATTGTGTTTACCTACAGCTTTATTGATGCTACAATTGCTTTCTATTTATTGTTTGATAAAATGAATTTTTGTACTCTCCGGCTGATGAAGAGCGCCCGTAGCTCCACTGAAAGTATGGGATTATGAGTCTCATTTGCTCGGCGTTGCACTCAATTTGAGGAGTTTTAACACATGGGTATGGATAAATTGGTATGCATGGTAATGCTGGCTCCACATGCTCAAGGGCAGTTTTGGGGCTTGTTACGCATTGGGGTGCAATTGAGTCTTGCTGACTCACGAGCTAGCTTGAGCTCGGCTCGATAGATGTTTCATGAGATGAACTTTGATGTTCTAATGAACCTGGCTTGTGCTAACTATAGCTCCACTGAGCGTATGGGATTACGGGTCTCATTTGCTCGGTCTCGCACCCAATTTGTGGGACCCACATAGGGTGGCCTTGGATTTGGTATACATAGAGTTGTAATTGAGTGGAGCTGACGTGTGAGCTGGCATGAGCTTGGCTCGACAGATGTCTCGTGACACAAACTTGACGATCAAACGAACCTGGCTTGTGCTAACTATGATTAGATTTGTTAGGTCCTGATCCCTAATTGTTTGAAAACATTAATATAAAATAAATTTAAAATATATTAGATTTCAGGAATTGAATTATGTAGTTATTAAAATTATCTAAAAATTTGCTGTTCTTTTTATTTCTCCTGTAGGTTCTCATTCTGTTCAGGGACATTAACATACATAACCCCCGATTCTTATTTATTGTATTTACATATCTACACCTAAACTTTATTTCTTTACATTTATACCTCCAAATATTTTATATTATATAAAAAATAACACTTTTTAAAAACGAGAAATGCACCTGTAATGCAGAAGTAAATTGTCAGATATATATATATATATATAAAATGAAGTTTAGGTGTTAGATATGTAAAACACATAGGAGTTGAGTGGTATTTAATGTAAATCGTACTTCTTTTTATCGTTTTATTCTTATAGTTACTTGAATTATAATCATCTTCCGACTGTTTTATTAAATGAATTGGATTGCGGGCTGGCTCAAATTCGTAGAACTGAACTCGAGATGAACTTGAATTCGTTTAGTGAAACTAAGTTCAAGCCAACGACTACTTGAGCTCAACCGGACTCGGGAACACGAGAAAAAAAAGACGAACGCTATCAAGTCCATTTTATCAGAGCATTAGATTTATTTATTTTTGGTGTTTAATTTGATTTAAATTAACTCAACGGTTAAATCTTATTAATAGCATGCTACCAAAGACCACATTGCTTGTATAAATGTACTCTACAATATTAATTCCCAAAATGTAATTAAATTATAAACTCTAATATTCTTTTATTATTATTATTTTTTGCAGATTATAATGGCTAAGCCAGCTGGTGGACCAAAGAGAGATCAGCCTGCAGGCATGGATGAGGACTAGGTTTTTTTTTTGGTGCCTTCAAACTGTTTCCTATTTCTAAGCTCTTGTGTTTGTTGGCTGAATCCCCCACTCTTCATAGAAAAATTTTGTTTACAGAGGAAGTGGAGAACTTTGGATGTTTTCTTTTATGTATCATCTTCATCCTTTCTGTTGAGTTGAAATTGTTAATTTAAGTTAATTTGTTGAGTATTTTAATGTTTATTTCATTTTTTTTTTAAAATATGACTTATTTTTTAAATCACATTTTAAAAATTGAAATGGTGGTATTTTTGATGCGATATGAAAGCTTTGGGGGTGTATTAGTATAAAAAAATAAAGTTTAGCTGTTAGATATGTAAAAAGTTGCAAATGGGGGGTGTATATATGTAAATGCACCCTTTTTTATTTTATTAAATAAATTTGTTTTAAATTAAAAGTTCACATGAATTTTAAGACATTATTATTTTTTCAAAATACTCTCAAATTACAGAAGTTTTAACTTTATGCAAATCTTATACATCATTAACATAACCATTTTATAAAAAAGTATAAATGTTTATTCGCTTATGTATTTGATCGAACGGTAAATTAGCTGTGGTGAAATTGGTAAAAAAGGCCTAATTACATAAATTCGAAACATCATAAACTGAGCAGTAGCTAAAATACAGGCAATTTGAAAAAACAAACCATATATAAATAGTATTGAAATATTTATTTTTTAGAAGTTATAGAATGCCAAAGCAATCTACATTAAAAATTTAAGGAATGGATGGTTTGGCTGTTTTGTGTTTAAGACCGTCATCATAATCAGTTAAGTTATAAATTTAGGTGGTGAAAAGCTTCTTTTCTCAACCCGATCTATTAAAGCACGACGGTCGTAAGGAAACAGTACCCCACACACACACACATTTTATATATATATATATATATATATGTTTTAAAAGAAAGGTTTACATAAACATCACTATATTTAACATCTAAACTAAGAATTTTTACATACATATCACCTTACCTACAAATTAAAAAGGGTTTCACATTTCAAAACCTAAAATTTCAAGTTTAGATGCATAGCACACAAATCTTCAACATTATATCAAAATCATTGCCATTACCAACTTAAAAATGCCTTTATATGCATAGGTTAAGTCTCGATGTGCTATGAATGTAAATATTAAATTTGAGGTGTTATATATGTAAATGCAAAAGAATTATGTGGTATGTATGTAAACTTAAATACCACAAATGACACTGAACAGAAAACATTATCAATAGAAATGAAATGAAACAAAAACTTAATAAAAGAAATCCAAAATCCATGAGATGAGACTGATGGGGAAATGATTATGACAATAAGTATAGGGGGATTTTACATAAATACCACAAATTCCTATGAATGTACGTATCTAACATCTAAATTTTAACATAAGAATCTTCAATATAGCATGAAAATACACTTTTCCATGCATGCACTTTAATGTAATTATGACACTAAAATGTTATAAAAATAAATATCAAACCTTTGGTGTTAAACATACAAAACATAAGAATTGTGAGGTATATATGTAAATCCCCCTAATTATCAATACATATGAGCTTATCCAATACCTCAAAACAATTTATTTGCACTAGTTACCAAACATGCAAAACACTAAAGAAAAAACATAAATTTAACTAATTTCAGCAAATTTTACATTAAAAGAAAGTCTAGGAATCTGCAAAATAAGAAAAAGAAAAATACATATTTATCTATCCATTCGGATATAACAAATTAAACAGTAGTGTTCTCCTGTGTACCTGAAGCTTCAAGCTCCTTTTTCTCATCTTCTGCTCCCAGAATTTCAGCTGAAGCATTGGGGTTCTCAGGAGGAGAAGGGGACTGAGTTGCCTTTTCTGGCTCCTTCTTCAGCTCAGTCTCAAACTCCTTTGCTGCCTGAAAGTACATAAATTTAATGAACTTAAGAGATTTTATAGGAAGATTTACACATCTAACACCTAAACTTCAATTTTTGCGTGCATACCACCTCACCTATGCGCATCGCACTTTTTAAAAGTTAAGAAAATGATATTTCTTATGTGATATGAAAGATTTGGGTGGCATAAATTGGGGCATTTACATACATACCACTCAATTCTTATATATCATCCATCCTTCTTGCTGTTTTCCTGCAAAAGCTGCCTTTCGACGTTGCCGTCCACTTCCAGCCAGGCCGCAACCCCACCTTCACTCACGCAGCAAGACGCAACCCTTACCTTCCCTCTGCAGCCAGCTGCAAACCCTTACCATCTTCCTGCCATCCCACTCACCTAACCAACAGCCAGCCCTGTTGGAATACAACCCTAGTTGATTTGGGTGTCGTGTTTTTTGTAATTTCTTATTCAAGTGTGTTAGTTGTAACCTTATATTTAATTTTTTCAGTAATATTTACTTTCTTTGTTGTTTGAGTTAACTCCGGTACCAACGTAAGGCCTATCCTTAATAAGTATTGCTTGAAGTTAATGAGAAATTAATAAAACCAAAAATTATCAAATAAAAAATTATGATAAGTTGTATTATATAAATTGTAAATTTTAAGGGAAGCAACAACTAAAATTGCTAAAATGATGCAAAGAAGGAAAAAAAAAAAGGGGTGTAGCCAATGCTGGTAAAATTATAGTCCCAAGACTGTCAATAATGGAAAAACAGATGATAAAGCAAGTGAAGGGGGATCACGTGCAACTAAAACAATCATGAAGCGTTTTATAGAATAAATCACTTGTCACTTCTCAGATTGTTCCTTGATATATGTATATATGTGTGTGTGTGTGTCACGTACCTCAGCATATTGGTTGACATCCACAGTATTAAGACCCCTCAGGTTCGGGGTTCGAATCCCCTCTCCACAGTTGGCTTTAAGGAGATGGTACTCGAATTGTTACACATTAGGGGTGGCTGGAGGCTCGTATAATAGTCTTTGGTCATTCCTTTATATATATATATATATATATCGATTGTCTAAATCTGTCTTTTGGACTGTGCCCAAGTAATAAAGTTAGACTTTGCGGAAAGAAGAAAGAGAGGAGGTTGCCCTGTCGATGGGCAAAGAGGGGTGGTCCCTAAGCTCGACAGCCTTTATCATTTCACACAAGTTCGGTTACAAGTGAGGGAGTAGGGAAATAAACTCCCTACATGAGAGGGAGAGAGAGTGCCCAAGGGACCCCCTTTACATGCCATGTGGTCCTCTATTTATAGAGAAATAAAGGGGGAAGATGGAGATTATATTTGTACCCTTGTTTAAAGGAGAGTAGTGAAGGGTATTTTGGACATTTGCTTGCTTGGACTGGCCCTCTTAGAGCTTCCCGTAGTTGGACTTGTCGGCGTTGAATGGTCGATCCAAGTGCCCGATCGCCCCGGGGTGGCCGGTAGGGCTACGAATTTAGCTCAAAGAACGTTAATCTCTCGAAGATTGATTCAAATTTTGGCTCAGATCGAGATCGATTAAAAATAAATGAGCCGAACTACGGGTAAAAATTTTTGATAGAATTTTTTTGAGCCGAACTGTTAATTTATTGAATTTAGCTCGAAAATCGTTAATCACTCAAAAACTAATTTGAATTTTGACTCAGATTGAGATTATATCAAAATAAGCGAGTCGAGCTGCAAGCCAAAATTTTGGATTGAATTTTTTTTTAGCAAGTTTTGGGCCGACCCCAGGTTGGTTCAAAATCAAATCGTTAAAAGCCCTAGTGGCCGTCTAAGGTGGCCGACTTTCATCCCTCATTGTGGCCGACCGACTGGGGTCGCCAAGCTGGTCGGCCGACCGATTGGTGGTGGCCAACCCAGGTGGTCGACCGACAGCTCGCAGGTGGCCGAACCATGTTGGCCGACCGATTGGCGGTGGTCGACCTACAACTTGTAAGTGGCCGACCGACAGGAAGAGTGTAGCCTGTCAGGGTGGCCGTTCCGATGGTTGCATGTTTATTGGTTCTTCTCCGATGACAAATCGTTCTGCTCAGCAATATATATATATATA